AAAAAAAAAAAAAACTAATCTTCCCTAAACACACAATATACATATTCCCAGTCTTGAAATTTTCAACGGCCAATAGAGAAAAAAAATGTGGCCAATCCGTCAAATAGTGAAGACAAAGCAAAATTAACCCTCTCATTCTCGTCGAACATCTCAATTTCAAGCACCCCAACGTAAGATCGTCCAAAAGAACTCCAATTTCACAAAATTGAAGCTCCAAGAGGTTTTAAAAAATCGACTCCCAAGACGGACAAAGTTAATTCCGACGGAGACGACGATTTTGTGTTCGAAAAAAAAAATGTCCAATGACAGGAAGAGACAGGGGTCAGAGACAACAAGGATAAACAAAGACTTTCGGTTCTCCTAAGTATCAACAAGAGTCCAATTTGAATTTCATACTTGATGAAGAGGAAAAAGAACATTCAAGTGAAGTGGTCGAACATCTCAAATGACTGCAATGAGATGGGCTTGGACACGTGTGTGACTTAGGTTGTTTATATCTCGTTTATGTAAATGTAAGTTAACGTTATTTCAATATGTCATATTTTTGTTTATCTTGTTTCAGGATTGTTTATATGCTGATTATTTTATGTATAATTATACGTATTGTTTTTGGATTTTGTAGTCATATTTGTTTATCTAATGTATATATTTACCATACCTATACTCTGTGTAATATATATGTTCTGCCTATCTATATACATGAATCAATTGTCCCAGTGTTTCCAATATGTGAGGACATGTTTATTTGATGTATTTATATATAGTATATATATCAATGAAGATTTCACGAACAATTTTTTTTTCTTTTATGAGTGCCATCAGTGATTTTTTTTTTTCAAATAGATGGATGATTTTTTAATTTTATTTTTTTTTTGGCTGAATGAGGTCGAGGAACAAAAATCTCGTTTAAAATTTTGAATTCGTGAAAGTATAAATTGTAGGTATCATATTTTGTATTATTTTTCAAATTCTCTTTTTATTTGCATAGGTTCCGCCGAAAATTGATTGCGTGTGAAACTAATCAGCAGGAGAGAGAGAGAGAGAGAGTAGCATCGTAGATGTGAAATAAAAATTACATCCAAATCCCTTTTTAATTATAATTTTTACTCCACGTATATGTGTAAATATCTCTAACATAGAGTCTACATATCTAAATTTCCCATAAAAAATGATATCACTTGTGGGGGATTTAAGCCTCAAGGACTTTTCATCTCTCTCAAACATTTGAAAAGCCTGAAAGGCTATTGGTTTACTTGGCCTGTAACAATATTGGGCCTGGTGCCCTTACCAAGTGTGATAAATGTGGAGAGAAGTTGAACAAGATGTGAAAGAATATCAACAACGTATAAGCCCGTGACTATAATCACTTGAAACAGACCGTTTAAATATATCATCATCACAAATAAGGAGTTAAATTCCAGTTTGGCTCAAAGTTTGTGCTTCAGATTTTGGGCCCAAATGTTCCTAAAGTCTCAGTACGAGGCCCAGATTATGTAGAAAACTGAGCTCAATTTCAAAAGCCCAATAAACCTGCTGCCTCTCATGAACAATAGAAGAATTATTATTATCGAAACATTAATTTGTTAGGCGGATTTAACAGTTAGACAATGGTACTTTTCTACTTATTTTTAACTGAAATGTCACAATAAAAAAATAAAAATTAGAATATGATATTTTATAGTGTAAATATTAAACAAAATATGACGAGTGGTTCCTCTTAATGATTAAACCCTCTCACGTAAAAATTTGTGTTATTGCCAAAATACAAGTGTGTAAATTTTTTATGTGATATATGGTTTTGAAAAAGTGCAATGACATTATTATTATTATTAGGAAAATGCTATTTGTACCGCAGGGGTTGTATGCATGGTGTACCCTTCATTGAAAACGTATTCTGAGAATACGTTTTTCAATTAAATTATTTGAAAAACGTATTCTGAGAATACGTTTTTTAACCAAAGTGTAAACCCTGCGGTACAAGCTGCGGTACGTGTAGCATTGTCCTTATTATTATTATGATTCAGTTAAAAGGAGACAACCAAAAGTCTATTTAATTGGTATAATTAATTTGTTAAAGTAATTTGGTCATGATATTGTCTTGTAATCATGATTATGTAAAATTAGTAGAAAGAATCCAACAAAATTTCTTGCTAATATTGGAAATTGCTTTAAGTGAGTCCTTTTGTCAACAGGTTTGTTTGATATTAATGAGCACTTTTGCTTTTTTGCCACTAATTTTTTTATTATTTTTATCCAGATATCCCACATCGATTGTGAAGAAGAACGAAGCATGTCTTATAAGCGGCTGTGGATACCTTCACTAGTGTGATGCGTTTTAGTGAGCTAGCTCCCAAAGGCAAAACCGTGAGGGTGAGAGTGCCCAAAGCGGAAAATATCACACTACGGGTGAACTGAGCTGTTACAATGGTATTAGAGCCAGTACCCGGACTGGTGTGCCAGCAAGGACGCTGGGCCCCCAAGAGGGGTGGATTCAGATATTCCACATCGGTTGTGAAGGAGAACGAAGCATGTCTTATAAGTGGCTGTGGATACCTTCACTAGTGTGACGCGTTTTGGTGAGCCAACTCCCAAAGGTAAAACTGTGCAGGTGACCGAACCCAAAGCGGACAATATCACATTATGGGTTGGCTGAGCTGTTACAAAAAGAATTTTGATGACATTTGGTTTTATTTAGTAATGTATAAAAGTGATGTATAATTATCTATATATCATGTAAATCATTCAAATGCTATGTATATTTTTATTCATTATAGATTGTACACCTAAACTGATTATAAGTTATAACATTTATTATTTACATAATGTGTAGTTTGTAGTTTTAAATTATTGTACCTTGATTTGCCTGATAATTAGTCACACCATGTACATTTAATGTTTATGCATATTATTTGTTATATAATGCATATGGATGAATGTGTAAATTTTTCATTCACAATCTTTTGTATAGAAACAATTTTACCGTTAAACGAGTCGACCCACCCAATATTCATTTATAACTAAAATGCATATTTATGTAATGAATTATCTAATTCATATTTATATTATTTTCTTAAGATTTGACACTTTATTTTAAATTATCCAATACACTTCTCCAAACGCGTCCTAAGGAATCGTTGTACCAAGGGATAGGATTAGGCCTGATAGCACATGAACATATTTATGTACAATGGGCCCTATTAGGGATTAGCAAAAGCCTAACACGAAACATGTCCAGATTCAAATCAGGATCCAATTTAAACCATAATAATAATAATAATAATAATAATAATAATAATAATAATAATAATAATAATAGTGTAATTTCACCTAGTTCTACATACACATTAAGCTACTATCATAAACAAACTTTTAATCAATAACAAGTTGTAAAAGTTGAAATAAATATCATAAACTTAGGAGGGCGAATTTGGGGAAATCTCTTGTGATTTTCTCTCGTGAGGCCCTCTAATTTCTTGCGCGCTTATACGATTTTCGCGAAACATATAGTTCTTGAGACGTCTTACGTCAGACAATTTTACGGGCTTCACAATGAAATCCTCGGCACCTTCTTCTAGACATCTGAATAATATTTGACAATCAATAATTTATCAAACAAAACTATATGTAGAAATTTTTTTCACTAATTTAATAGAAAACCACAAATTCTTTTATGTGTCTGAGTAACAAATTGGAGTCTAAACGAAAAAAAGAATGCACTAAATAATAATAATAATAATAATAATAATAATAATAATAATAATAATAATAATAATAATAATAATAATAATAATAATAATAATAATAAAACTAAAGTATGTGAGATAACCTCTCAATTCGAGCCAAGACATTTTCTGATGACATTATAACAACTGGTACTTCTTTGAAATTAGATGAACCCTGCAAACAAAATTAATAAATAAATATTTAATAAATGAAAATTAATTTTGATCTACATTTTTTACAAGTGAATTAAATATTTTTATTGAAAAATTATTAGACCTTAATCTTTTTCAGCAACTCATAGCCACTCATCCCAGGCATGAAATAGTCTGTAATTATCAGATCTACTTTAAACCCCTGAAAATAACCAATCAACATTGGTTAATAATTAATATACCAATCAATGTACAAAATTCAAACTTATATTGAAAAAAATAAATAAATAAATAAATAATAGTCTATATAATTAAGAAATATATAATTTTTTTTTATTGAAAACTTACATCAATACCAACCAAATTTCCTCCTTCATCCAATCCCAAAAACTGCAAGGCCTTTCTTCCACTATCAACTGCTGTCACTGTAATTAAGCTAAAAAAATTTAAACTTTATAAAGATACAATTTTTTTTTTTGGGAAGATGCTATCATCCCGTTACGAACTCGATCAACTATCTCTGACGGTTACATGATGATCTAACGGTTACAAACGTCGACGCGGTACCATTTCCCCTTTTTTTTTACACACACAAAAAAAAAAATTACCTTTACATGAAATGATTTTGAGCAGCCTCTCAATGACTTTCCTATCAACAAGACTATCATCCACAGCAAGAACATGAATCTCATGATGATGAGAATCATCTACTCTTGAAAATACATTACCATTCATTGCCATTTCTTCTTTTCAAGAAAAAAAATCTCAATAGCCCAAGATTTGATTTTTTTTTTTTGTTATATATAATTGTAAATCTTTTTTTTTTATAAAGAAAAAATCAATAGATGAAAATATGGCCAAGATTTGATTTTTATTTTATTTTTTTTAATTGAAACTAATTTTCTCAAAGAAAATCTCAACAGCCCAGATGAAAATAAGGCCAAGATTTGATTTTATTTTATTTTTTTTTTAAATTGAAACTTATCCTTGTATATATCG